CAAAACGCATTGCATACAGTATGGAATTCTCAAGGGATAAGCTTACTTATTTATTTATTTTGAGAGCAATTGAAAGATGCTCAATATCCACCTCTGGCTTTGTTGTTTCCCTGGAGATTACAGCCTTCCGTTTTGGAGGGAAACTTTTTTGTTTTGAAGGGACCAGCTCCCCATTTCGGCAGCCATAACAGCCGAACAGGTGCTTTTCTGACCTTGTCTTAGTCACAAAGAGGTCAGATGCCTGTCTCGTGACAAGGAACCAATCAGAAGTTAGCTGGTGGTGCTTTACGGACAAGTGCACAGCAATGACTCGCAGAGCATAACAACCGCCCTGGGTGGTCCTATGGGCCATAACAACCAGTTGACCAATCAACACAGGGCAAGCGCTCCAAGCCTGGAGCCACACCAATCCTGAGTCTGTGCCCCTAGACACTCCCCTTACGCTGCCCTATAAGATCTCTGTCCTGTGGTTTCTCAGAGTCTTTTTCTCAGCCATCTGCCATGGTGGATGGATGAAAGGTCCTAGCTAACAGGGTTAGCTCGTTAAACAACTGCAAGAATAGACTCATTGCTTTTGCATCAAAATGGGCCTCTTGGTGATTTGGGGGTTCAGAATTTGGGCACATAATAGCCCTGGCTTGTGTCTGTGTGTGTGTTCAGTAGCGGCTCCTTAGGCAATTGCTATCCATCAGCAGTTGCAACTCCCTGAAGCTACCAGCAGCACCTCAGCTGCACTGGCCTTAGCTAGACAGGAATTCTGTTCCCTCAGGCAACAGGCTTTATCACAGCTGCTGAAGGAAACTTTATCTAGATCTCTATCCCTCTACAGAATTCGGGATGCAAAGGCTGAGGTGAAATCCTGCTGGCTCAGAGAGGCTGAATAGCAAGCAAGTAGCCAACCTTCTCTCATAGCTCCTGTCTCCTCCCAAAACCCTAGCTACACATGGTTCCTCCCACCCTACCACTTCCTGTCAGCTAGCTGCTGAGTCAACATCCTGACTCTCGGTCAATTTTATTTAATCAAACAAATGTAACACACCTTTGCATCATTAAACACATATTCCACAGCATAAATGAATTTAACCCATATTTAATTAATATTCTATGATACTGGCTGTCCTGGAACTTGCTAATCAGCCCAAGCTGGCTTCAAGTGCCCAGAGATCTGACTGTCTCTGCTTCCCCCGGGTGCTGGGATTAAAGGCGTGAGACACCATGACGGGTATAACTATTTTCCTTCAAGATTTCTTTATTGTATTTCTTAAAAACTTATTTTTATTTTATGTATGGGTATTTGTGAGGGTGTGGGGGCCATGAACATAGGTTAGAGGACAATTTGCAGGGGCTGGTACTCTCCTTCTACCATGTGATTGATGGGACTTCAATTGAGCTTATCAGGCTTGGTGACCAGTGCTTTTCACCCTCTGAGCCATGTCACTGGGGGATTCTAGGCAGGGGCTCTACCACTGAGCCACACCCCCAGTCCCTCATTGGGGAATTCTAGGCAGGGGCTCCACCACTGAGCCACAACCCCAGTCCCTCACTGGGGGATTCTAGGCAGGGGCTCTACCACTGAGCCACGCCCACAGCCCCTCACTGGGGGATTCTAGGCAGGGGCTCTACCACTGAGCCACGCCCCCAGCCCCTCACTGGAGGATTCTAGGCAGGGGTTCCATTGCTAAGCTGTGTTATAACCTTGCTTCTGCTCTTTATTTTGAGACAGAGTCTTACTAAGTTAGCTGTCTAGGTGGTGATCCTCCTGCCTTGGCCTCTTCTGGGTGTACAGTCCCAGGTCTGACTGCTTTCAGGGCTTATAAGAAGAGAAAGGAGGACTTGACCTGATGCACTTGTCCTGTCTTGCTAAGTGAAACCATTATCCCGTTATAGCAAACACGGATTCCTTTCCAAGCACTAACCCTTGGGCCTCCCTGCCTTTAGAACCTTTTGCCCACAAAATGCCATTTTTGAAATAGACGGTGTATGTTTGGGACAGAATCTCATGTATTCCATGTTTGCCTCCAAAATCACTATGTACCCCTGAACCTCTGATCCTCCTGCTTTGGCCCCCTAAGTGGTGAGATTACAGATATTTGTTACCGTGCCCTGTGTTCTGATTAGTGTTTTGCCAACTGGACTCAAGCTAAAGTTATCTGGAAAGAGGGAACCTCAATTGAAAAAATACCTCCTTAAGACTGGTCCATAGCAAGTCTGTGGGGTCATTTTCTTTGCTTTTGTTTGTTTGTTTTGTGTTTTTGAGACAGGGTTTCTCTGTGTAGCCCTGGCTGTCCTGGAACTCACTCTGTAGACCAGGCTGGCCTCGAACTCACAGAGATCTGCCAGCCTCTGCCTCCTGAGAGCTGGGAATAAAGGTGTGCGCCACCACCTGCCCAGCTCCTTTTCTTGATTACTGGTTGACTTGAGAGGGCCCAGCTCACTGGGAGCAGTGAAGGCCCTGAGAGGGTGGTCCTGAGTGACACAAGAAGGCCCTGAGGGGCTGGAGAGATGGCTCAGAGGTTAAGAGCACCGATTGCTCCTCCAGAGGACCTGGGTTCAATCCCCAGCATCTGCATGGCAGCTCACAACTGTCTGCAACTCCGGTTATAGAGGATCCTATAACCTCCCATAGACATACATGCAGGCAAAACACCAATGCACGTAAGTAAATTTAAAAATAAAAAGAAAGAAAGAAAGCAGAGTGAGCATGGAGAGCAACCCATTTAACATTAATCCTCCATGGTCTCTCCTTCAGTTCCTGCTTCCGGACCAGGTTCCTGCCTTGACTTCCGTTTTCGATGGATGGACCGTTACCCAGAAGCCTAAGATAAAATACACCTTCTCCGTCCCGAGTTGCCTCCGGTCATTGTGTTTTACCACAATAGAAACCCGACTTCCACACCTGACTTTAAACCTCCATTCTTTATAAGTTATCCAGTCTCAGGGAGTCTGTGATAGCAAGAAAAAACAATCTGACACAGGTTACTAATGACTGTGCCAGAAATGCCCTGTTGGGCCCTGCCGGGGGTTGTGAGTCTGATTTCTGAGAACTGGGCTGCACTCACACTTGACTTGGTTGTGCTCTGTTGAAATCCCGTGGGGCTTGCTGGTGTCCTGAACCTCAG